TTTTCAACAATCATAATTATATTTCGAATATATAGATATATTAATAAAATATTAATTTATGTTTCGTGACACAATAATGTTAAAATAAAAAAATATTTTTTTTCAGAATATTCTATCATAATAATTATTTAAGAATTTCCTAAAATCGGGATAATATTATTCTTGTTATTTTATTCGTGATAATATTGATATATCAATCAATACTTTATGACATTTTGTTAGAAAGTTTCTTTGGATCGTACACGCGAAGGTTGTTGGAATTTAGGAAGTTTTTTAGGAAACGATTCTTATGAATGTAATACGTTGTAATGTCTCAAAGGGGAATCACTCATATTATCACTAAATATTCCTAGAAGAAATGCGCCATCTACAATACACTGACGCATTGATTACCGCCAAATTTAACACGTTTAAATAATAAATGTTTGACTATAATAAAATTCAATAAAATAGCACCAGTGATATAATTAAATTAAATAGAAGAATATATTCAAAATAATAAACTAACAATTTCCTATATAATCAAGACAAAAATTATACTAATTATCTTATTCGTGAAAATTTTAAAATAGTAATCAATGTTTTGTGATATTAGACCATTTGACCATATGATAATAAAATCTATTTAAATAGTATCACCTAAATAACAAAATATTGAATAAAAAATATTTTCAAAATAAAACAACATAATTAAATTTATAATAAAAGAAAAAAAATGGAAATATATAATAATTAAAATGAGATATAAATTAATAAAAGAAATATGAAAACAGTGAAACGAGCACGCATTGAATAATTATCATAATTATTATTTAAATTTCCGGATAAACGGAAAGAAATTTGTTTTCACTTATCATTTTGAATTTGAAATGTCTTCCCTTTAGAAAGGTAGAAACAAAACGTAAGCCTGACTGCGGTATGTATGTAAATGTTCCTCTTTCTCTTTCTTTCTCTTTATCGTTCTGTCTTTTTCTATTTTGTGTCCGATCCCCTACGCAGCCCTTACCATCCATTCGCGCCCTTTCCACAAGCACAATCGTGGTTTCTACCAAACTCCAAAGCCATTTCACGATATGGGGATGAGGTATACCTGCTTTCTCTTTCTCTCTCTTTCTCTCTTTCATCCCCCCTTGTTTCCCCTTTCCCCGCTTTCTTTCCACTCCCCAGAGGCATGCTTTTCTTCCATTGTATGTGCACCTCCACTCTTCTTTCTCTTTCTTTCTTTCTTTCGTTCATTCGTTCTTCCCCCTCCCTTTTGGTCTTTTTTTTCCTCGCAAAGTCGAGTTACCGACAAAAGGAAGCACGTTCACGCGTGTAACCTGACTGATAAAGTCAAAGATGCGAAATTCTTTTGCGAAAATTCCCCCCTCAAAAATGTCCTTTACTTTGTTCGATTATTATTCGAAATACGATTATTTAATATTGTTGAAATAATGATAGGATTATTATTCGTTAATTATTTTCAATTATTTTATTAATTATAGGATATTATATTATTAATTGTTAAAAATGTTTGATTTAATTGACATATAGGATGGATGTTGTATAAAAGAAAAATATAGTTTGAGAAGATCCAAATACAAAATATTTAGGTGATCATTAGATTATTAATTTATCGTTAAATACTCGTCCAATCTCTAACGCATGGTAAAGTAAATTAATTTAATTAATTAATCGATTGCGATTTAATTAATGTAAAATATGTTTGAATTTATTTACATATGATAGATACTATGACAAAAATATAGAAATGTTACAGAAAACTTCACAAAATCAGAATGCGAAGCAGTAAAATAATTATTCAATTTAATTTTTTCTTTAATACTCGTTTTAGCTGCAGTAAATGAATATTGTCTTGAATCAATTAAAAATTATTTAATATAAGACTAATCTTTATTAATTAAATTACGATAGATAAAACATTAAAATACAATAAATTAAAAGTATTACTTCGTTTAAACATTTTTTAAATCAATCTCATTAAATAATTCATAACAAATTATAAAATATAAATCACAAAAATTTGATTTAATTCACGCTTTTTTGAAAAACATACAAATCAATTGAAAAACATTTCGCAAAAATCAAGTGACACGATATTTTTTAAGAATCGTATAAATCATTGTTTATTACTCGTTTTTTTTTGCGTGAAGATTCGGTAAAAGAATAAACGGTAGTGACAAAGAAATAGTCCGAGTTAATGTTAAAAGAAAAAAAAAACAATGAGAAAGAGAGAGAGAGAGAGAGAGAGAGAGAGAGAGAGAAAGTTAGAGACAGGAAGAATCATAGATGAAAGGGTTGAATTGGAGAAGTGGAAAGGTGGTACGAGTCGAGAGGTTTTAGAGAGCTCGGTTATAGTACAAATATACTTTACGAATACACACATTTATACAAAAGTAGACTTACACATAGATATGTGTAATCCACCACCCATCAAGTTTTTCTCTTACCACCTCTCCTTTTCCATTCTTTTTCTTTAACTTTTTATCATGTATATATACGTATATTCCAAAAATACATACACATGTGTATATATCTGTGTCTGTTTACATATATATATATAAATGTGTGTGTGTGTGTTTGTACGCAATGTGTGCGGGTACGTAAAGCTGGTCCAAAGTTTGCGTTGACTTTATGGGATCTTTTTATCCCTGAGTAATTCCACGTTGGAGTATCGGCCAAGTAGATGCGTTTCTTCTTTATTTCCGGAATGTACAGAATCCTCGAACCCTTATTCCAGTTACTACCGTCCCTTCATTCTCTCTCTCTTTCTCTCTTTCTTTTTTTCATTTCTACTTTCATTTTTTTCTTTCTCTTCATTATCTCTCGTTCAAGGTAAAAGTCTAGAAATATACGCGCGGTGTTTTCTTGGGATCAAACTCCTGACTCCGGGGGGGGGAGGTTGGGGGTTGGGGTACCAAGAGTGGTCCAGAGTTAAACTTCAACGTTGCCAGACGTTTTCGGTGGGGTTGGGGGGGGGAAGGGTGATTACGAAAAGGCAATGCACTAGAAAGTTTAAGGGAGAAAGTGGTAGAGGCAGACGAGGAGGGGGGGGTGGCGCGGGAGGGAGGAAGAAAGAAGGATGCGTGCTTTACGCTACGCTGGGCGATAATAAAGATGAAAAAGAATCCAAAAAAAAAAAAAAAGAGAAAATAGAACGAAGGGAAATCTAAAGAACTGGGAAACAAAATCGTCCCTAGGACGACTCGTCTGAGAACTTTTTCTCTTTTTTCTTTTTTTTTTTTTTTTTTCAAATTTTATTTTGCCCTTTTCTTTTTCTTATTCCTTTTCTTCTTCTTCTTCTTCTTCTTTTTCTTTCGCTAGGTCGTAGTTGACGTATTAAAGAAAAAAAAAAAAAAAAAAAAAAAAAAATAAATGATAATAAAAAGGGGAAAATAAAAGAATGGAATAGGAGTTGAACTTTCAGCATATTATTCGAATGTAGAAAAAACGTCATCCACGTGGAAAAGTTATGAGAATCAAGGAATGACTGGTTCTCCTTCCTACCGATGCTTTCCCTCTTGCTTTTTACCCCCCTCCCCTCCCCCCTTCCCCCTCCTTTCCCGAACTCTCTTTAATTTTTCTTTTTCCTTTTTCTTTTCATTATTATTCTCTCTCAAAGAATAATCGAGCTGAGAATTAACGGGATAGATGAGAATGAGAGAGATAGAGGAACATATAGAGTGATAGTATCGATCGAAATGCTAAAGTTTGTGCGAGTTGTCTGGTGAATGTTGGTGAGTCAGCCTTTTTCATTGACCGGTGAACCGAAGAAACGGCCCTTTTATTTCACCAACTTTATCAGTCTCAACGAACTATCTTAATTTCTCGTCTTCCAATTAAGCTTACTTACTTACCATCTCTCTCACTCTTTCTTAAAGTCGAAAGATGTGGAATGAAAGAGAGAGAGAGAGAGAGATGAAAATCGTTCGTGCAATAGCTCGTCGAATTATATGAACCGTTGCTGATCTTTATGTGCGAGGGAAGTTAGTATATTGGGCATAGGAGGGGTAAGTGGGGGGTTTTTCTTTAGTTGGTTCCCCTAAGGTATGTGTCTTTATTAGTTGCACGGGTCACTTAATTCGGTTTAACGTTGCTGTGAATTATATCCCATCAATGACTCCCAAATAAAGATCTTTGTTCCATGAAAGATATAATGTTTCAAGATTTTATTAGAATAAGTTAAATCAAATGATTCGATATCGTACGTGAAAAATTGACGTCAATTTAATCGATATTTTAATTATAATGCATTTATTATCGAGGGTCGATTAATTGACTTTTAATTGTTTGAGACATATGATTTTAATGGGAATAAATGAACACGAAGAGTTTGCATTTTATTTAATATATAAAGAAGAAAATGAATAATATTTTAAATGAATATTTTATTAGAGAGAGAGAGAGAGTGGGACACAGTTTAACAATTGACAATTGAATGACAAACTGTATGACTATGAGTAATTTGAATTTTTTAATCTGGATTAAAAAATATCTCATCATGCATAGTAAACTATGCAAAAGGTGGGACAATTTTTAATCTACCTAATACCAAAAAGTTAAACTGATAGCGTATCCTAAAAATAGATTTTTCGTTCATCTCGGTTTATCGATCGGTCGAATAAAATTTAAATCTAAATAATACTGCTCAACATTTGATTATTTTTAATATTATTTTTGTAAGAAGTAAACACAAAATTGTTTATATTTTTTATCTTATTATTATATTAATCATTAACAATCTATAGAAGAAACAATATAAAAATATTTTCTATTTTATTTCCTTTACAGAAATAATCCCATCGTTATTAACAAAAAATTCGAGTTAAAATTGACCGGTACATTTCGTTAATATATGCGAATTATTTATAAATCGTGCACGAACACATTACGAATAAGTAAAAGAAATTACAAAAGAAGAATAATAAAGAATTTCTTTTAAGAATTCTTTATACACAAAGAAGAGAATGAAGAGGTATTCTTGATAATTAGGCTTCCTCCCCTTATTTCACGTTTAATGTGAATTGAAACAAGTAGGTAGTAGATGTAACTACATCGAACTCGACTTTTCGATGAGTTTGCGTGTCGTTGAAATTAACAACACGAGTACCTTCTCGTGCACTTGGTTCTGCCAACCAGTCAACCAACCAGCCAGCCAGCAAGCAAATCAGTGAGCTAGCAAGTAAGTACTCGCATTTTCTCATATATAGTTTATACTTACACACGTATATACTAATACAGACAAAGACAAAGACAGGATGCAAAAGGCATCATACGCTCGGTTTCACAAAGACGTGAACATCGTGCAGAGAACAGAGTGACAGGTTCGTATGTAGCCAACTTGTGGTCTTTGGCTTGATACATCGTCCTAGTAGTTTATACACATTCGTATCGTACACTTACAATTACATTTAAATAGATACGTGTCAGTGTATATATGTGAGAGGGTATATATACAGAGTTGGGAGGAACGCATAGAATGTGCCTATCGTTTGCTTATTTACCCTTTACGTTGGTACTACAGTGTATCAGGAAGGACAACAAAATGCAAGAAACCAAAGCATGGAATGGCTGGCTTTGATAATTTAATTTATATACACTCTTGGATCCTTACCTCTACCTTCTTGCAAAACTGTCGACGTGCCGAGTTAATTGTATAAATTATTACTACGGGAGTTTCGTTGTCGATAAAGTCTTAAAGGTTGGTATAACTAACTTTACCCAAAAGAATACCAAGGATTCTTTTATTCCTATTATACTTTTTTCTCTTCTTAACAGTCGTGGATCGTTGATAGGTCGAAGAAAGAAATAAGAATGGAAGATGGAAGAAAGAAATGGGGAAAATAAAAAGTACGAGAAAAGAAAATAGAAAAAAAAGAAAAAGAAAAAAGAAGAAAAACAAAATAACAAGTTGCTTTCGTGCCACGAAGGTCGCTGTTATTTCGAAATAATCGCGTGTGAGACTTCGTTATTGCATTATTCTTTCTTCTTTCTCTCTCCTTTCATTCTTTTCTTTATTTTTACGAGATATGGTCGATAACGATCAGGTGAAATTTACGAGAGCCCTTTTTTTCTTTTTTTTTCTTTTTTTTTCTAGATACCCCCTTCTTTCTTCATTGTTTCAACTCTTTCGATGATATTGTTTAATTAATTAACTGTACGTGAAAGTAGTGAACCGAAAAGAAATTGGATACCCTTTTCGTATTGTAACGGAAGTCACTCAAATTCACAGACTCGATCGAATGAAATCCCTTCGACATGATCATTATGTTTTCTCTCTCTCTCTCTCTGTCTCTGTCTCTCTCTCTAACTGTTTTTCTCTCTTTCAATGTCGGGTCTATTAAAAGCAGAGACCGAAACCCTCGACGCACCCACGGTTTATTGCTGCGCGCACTAATTTACTCGTTAGTGCACTGATTGAATACAATCGGCTTAGCATAATAGCCGGATACCATGGATGCACACAATAATGCACGCAATATCTACAAGGCACGAGTTCTTTCAGCCTTCACTCGCAAAGAAACCAATGTGATTATCGAGTATACTACAAGCAATTTCTTTTTAAACTAACTGTGTAATGGTTCTTTTATAATGGCGATTTAACGATTTATTTATTTTTTTGTTTTTTTTCTTTTTTTCCTTGGGATCATTATCATATATCCGATTGTATTTTATATAATTTATGTTTAAGAATTGTTTATATTTAATTTACATCATTTTATTCTAATCGACGTTTGATCATTTTTATTACGAGCTGTACAATTTTTGTCGCGTGTTTATAAGGGGTTGTCTGATTATAAATCTTATTTTTTTTGTGAATATTTTTTAATTTTATGAAAATAAGAGAGTGTTTTGAATGATTAACATGTTTAATGCTATGGGAATCATCGGTTTATTCGTATCGTTGCGGAGGTCACCGGTGACCCATCTAATAAAATAAATAAGTAACATGTGATTGTATACAATTAAACTTATGTATTATAAATAATATTTCAACAAAATAGGCGTAACATGTAAGAGAGATAACAAATTCACGTTGATGAAATTAACGTTGTTTTTCAAATGTCCTATTATTATTAATATCAAATTAAATAATTATCAATATATCAATTTCTTCTCTAACATGTTTGTTAATTAATTGCTTGATATTAATTATTTTAAAAATGATCTTATTAATAATAATAAAAAGTTAAATGTTTAGCGTGTGAAAGGAAAGTTCATGGGATATAACGTCGAGTACAATAATAATCTTTGGTAAAGCAGACATGTTTGTCGTAAAATACGAAAGAATGGTCTGTGTTCGTCCGGCAAGAAGCAGCAATATATCCGTTTCTATCTAGTTTTCCATCGCCTCGATCGGTCACGATAGATCGTCGTCAAAGTGATACGGCCCACGCCTCATGGGTCACGACATCTCGCGTTTCTCTTACGACAGGTACGAATACTCACCACATATATGTATATATATATATATATATATATAAACATATATGTATATGTGACTTTCTACCTAACTTGTTTTCTTTCAATTCTACGAATCTTTTCTTATTTAATATTATTAGTAACTAACAGATCAATCACGATTAAGGATATTAAATTTGTTGACACAATTTTTTGTTAAAATAAATAATAAAAAAGGAGTGAAATTAATTTAATAAAATGGTAAGTTATATAATTTTGTTTTTTTTATGGTATTATTATAGAAATTATTAGAATAAATGTTAAGTTATTATTTGACAGTTTTTAAAATTATTATGGCAGATATTAAACAACATTGTTATATTTTGTTCAATTACATGATACGTTTTGTATAAGTTAACTTAATTAACATTATATTAAAGAAAATTTTTATGAATATACGAAGTTTCTGCGAAATAATTCCGAATAACGCGGTATAATTATTTTTCAATCGTTTTGTTATTCGTAATTGAATTGTTTGTACTTTATTTTCTTCGATAAAATGTTAAAAGATCATTGTAATGAATGGAAATAATATTTAAACGAAAATCATTATGTTAAAAATCGTCAAACATTTGAATATCGATGAAAAACGTGTCTCCGGGAGTTTGTAAAAAAAAATAAAAAGGGATTGGATACTTGGGGATATGGTGGTTGAACGAACGGTACATACAACGGAGGAGTGCGTGATGTCACTGATGACTTATGGTCATCATAAATCAAGCCATTGAATTTCACAGTGTCGATATTTCGTCGTGCCCCTCGCGACATTCTATTCCGCACCCTACCACTCCCTTGGGAAGAGCGTTGTTACCAAGGGATGTGGTAAAGGTACCCATCATATTTTTTTTCTTTTTTTTTTTATAAATCTTCGTACTTCCTAAAAATAGCGTGATACAAAAAAGAAATGAAACAAATCAAGACATCTGTTTCTTGTCTTCGTTGAATTGGAAATTGTATTAACCATTTATTTGATCAATTTAAGAACTCAATCTCAAATCAATACGAGACATTATCTTTTTATACAATATTATTTAATACCAATACAAATTTCTATTTAAATCCATTAAGTTTATTTCTAATGTGAAAATTTATTTGAAATCTCGAACAAATGAAACATCGATCAAGTACTTTGGTATTAATATTTTAAAAACTTCTCAAATTAGAGATTCTCTTTATGTTTCATTTTACCAAATGAATAGATACAAAGAATAGAAAATTAAATTGAGAACAATTTCTTACATAAATCTAATAGCATAAATTTTAATTAAAAATTTCCAAAAACTTTTTTCTCGAAAGTGATGCCACAAATTAAAAAATGATACTCTTATTTATCGATTAATTGTTTCATGTTGAATCATCCCCTATACCACAACCCGTACTTATGTATAAAAATAATTATAATTTTACACGTACGAACATATCATTTTCATAGCAAACAAGATACGCATAAGTATACAAAAAATAAATTTCTTTTTCTACCTTATATCATGTATACATTTTCCAACGTGTTCGCAGATAACTAGAAATAAATATGAAAACAGTTAAACAGTGCACTGAATGGACACCGAATAATCTTTTCCACGAATGTCAATGTGTTTATAAATTCCACGACGAGATTTATAATAGAATAAAAACAACAATATTGAAATATAGACATCGGTTGAGGAGTCGGGAAAGTATATATGTAAAAACAAAACATTAAATCGTTCTTTCGATTAGTTTAACCTCTACTCATTCTTTCCTATTCAGTCGTCATTCTTATAAGCTTCCGACAAGACGTATTAATATGTGTTTTCATTTTACGTATTATACATTTTCCTATCTCATTTATTCGTTCGTTTAAATTAAATACAGTGTTTTATATCTTTTTTTTTTTTAACGATGCTCTAATTAATACTATTAATTAATTACTTTTAGTAAATAAGAACATTATTTGATCGATATTTTTCGTATTATTAAAGCATAAAGTGTGTTTCTCGTTGGAGAGTAAAATTTTCGGAATGATCTCACCGGGAAAATGGAATTTTAATATTTCAGGTATGTATTTGCGTATGTGTATGCGTATGCACGTTAAATGCATCAAATTTTAGCAATGAAATAATCATGTATCTCATCAAATGTTTATATAGAATTTTAATATTTTAAATATGTATAGGTTATATATGTTACTGTTAAAACGTGAAATTGGTTAATTTCTAAAATAATCAACTCAACCATGAAATAGCAATACCTATCTGTTAAGATATAAAATTACGCAGAATTATATATTTTAACTAGATAATAGAAAAATTCACGAGATATGAGTTGTTAAAGTATAAAATTGTAATTTGACACGTATATTAGATCCGATAAAGAAAGTACAAAAGAAAATAAGGACAAATAACAATGTGCATTGTTTAAGAAACAAAAACAAACCTTAAAAACAGATCAAATTTCAATCTCTTACTTCAACTATACACCCCTCTCGCGAAATCGTATCTAACCTAGTCATTTCCTGAAACAATTCGTTAAAGTGTATAATAAATTTCGCATAAAAGCCAGATATTTCATGAATTAAACGAATTATACGATTTAATGCCGACATATTAAATAAATCTAGCGAGAAATGTTGTGTTTGGTAAACACTTGTTTACATCCTTAGCTCATCATATTGATGAAAAGTTTATTCCTAAAGAACCCACAACATCGATTAAAGACTGAATTAGTGATTCATTGAAACTTAGTGTTTAGTGGAAACTAAACAAGGTTAAAATTTAGTCAAATAGAATGAGAGTGAATGGAGAAAATATGAGAGAGAGTGAGAGAAAACGAGTAACACAGGTATTATCGTGATCGAACTATCCATTGAATAGGCGCTTCGTTATGTAATCCGTTCGTACTCGAATAACGTTATTACACTTCGTTACCTACCACGTTGCCGAGCCACTTTTTCAACGCTCACAACGATAGATTCGCTAACGGTGTCAATTGATGATACTCCAAACGAAATTGGCGATCACGAGGACATAACCATTCGAAAGAACCACTCATACTCCGTAACAACATAAAATACATTCGAACCAAATAGCGCGATACCTTTTCAACGGAAAATATTTGACGGGACCGATATAAAACTAACGCGTTGTACCGATCATTTTTCAAATATCGTATTTGGAATATCCTAATTGTTTATTAAATCAAATATTCAATTCGAGATTACTTGTAAGGTTTTTTTTAATAAGAAAGCGTAAAGTATGCGCTATGATAAATATAATATTAAGTTTGAAAAGAAAACATGCATGAGACATCATCTATCGTTCGAAGTAGCTAAATATCGATTGTTATTTTCGACGTGACGTCAAAGTGAACCGAACAAAATAAAAACTCGTATTTGATTTTCAATAAAAATACAATGATTGTTGAAGAGAATATTTATTACAATTTCGTTAAAGGAAATGAACGTTCGTTAAAAATGGTTAAAAGTTAACAATATTTAAACGTGAAATGAACATAACCTTAAAATGGAACCTTGGATTCCGATTTCTCTCATGAAAAATTTTAAAACTATATGTTAAATTTCAGATTGAAGACAATTTCGTTAAAAATATAAATAAACAATTCATGTTAAAAAAATAAATAATCATAATTACAAAATTTTATAAATGTGAAAAATCCGAAATTGTACACCGAATCCAAATATCTTATAATATATGGACCGTTTTGTTTGAAAGTGGTACAAGTTCATTTTCTGTTGTTTCGAGAAAATGAAAGAGGTTTGCATATTGGTCAATTGAAAAATATTCATTAATTATTTCAAGTCTGTCAATGTTTCTATTAATTTATCAATATATAATTTAATTATATATCAATTTCTCTTAAGCTAATTTAACTAAAATAATGTATATATTTACGGGTTGCAAATGGACTTACGCAACTTTTAAAATAAACGGTTCATATATATATGATTATTATAAAAGAACAAAAATAAGTTCAAAGGTGAAGACAATTTGTGGAAAATGATAAAGTGAGTCTGGGTGTCAGATCTGGAAACGGAAGAGAAAACTAAACAAAAAATAGCAGAAGTATTTTCGAAGCAATATCGTTTGGGAAGACGTCCTAGTCGAATTTAGAGTGAGTTCTTGCAGCTTCAGTTCTTTCCTAGGATGTTTCGAAGCTCCTGAGCCTCGAAATGAGACGGATTTCTCGATGTTGAAGGAAGCCAGCTACTCAAGAAGAGTACTAGGCTATCGGGTTTGCGGTGTAACCGGACCCGGAAGCTCGTCGAACAGCCGTTTCTCTTTCCTTCTCACTATCACACACACTCTTGCACACATATACATACTCTCACATTCTAACACCCTCTTAGTTTCTGGTTCCTCTTATTTCGGAAGATTTCCCTGGATGCTCATTGCCTTCTCCCTCAACGCCAACTCGTTCCTAACTTCTGAGATCCCGGCTTATCTCTTTTCTCTCTTCGAAAACTACCCCTTCTTACACCCTTCTTTCTCTTTCTTCATCATTCCTATACTACCAATCCTTGTGTGTGTTAACGTTGTTCATAAGAAAAAATGAACATTAACTTTCCTTTCTTTCGTTTGTACCAACGTCTTTCAACTCTTTAACACTCGATTTTTGAACATTTTTTTGTATATAACAAAATTTTGTAATTCTATAATTAAATAATTATAAATTATTTAAGTTTTTAATTTGTTTAAAACGTTTAGTGTTATTTAAAATTATTTTTAATGTAATTATAATTTGAATACAAATTTCTTATCATTTTTGTTTTAATAGTCGTTCAGAAACCAATGCGGTTGAGTTAATTTTTTTGGATTTATGTTTCATTTTTCGAAATTTTAATGCTTTCAATAAGAATGTTTTTAGTTGTTTTCTGTCTTTCTTAGCTAAGTCCTAAAGTTTTTAAGATTTTGCTATTGTCTCAGCAAATACATACGTTTTTATTTACACATCCTGTACATATTTTGTTTTGTTGCAGAGCCTACACTTCTACCAAAATTACTTTATATACTTTTATACTCAAATTCTTATGAAAGAAGCCAAAAATATAAAAAAATCAATGTATTAAAAGACATTAATTTTCACAATTATCATTTTCAAGACTTAACCACTATTGATTACTGGTCGACTCATGTATTTCTTCATCTTTTAATTAAACAAAAGTTATTTTTTAAATAAAAATAATATTAATTTCTATTTGATATATTAATATATATAAAGAGTCCATATTATAAGTATTCTAATAATTTTAATATTAATAATTAGTCTATAAAAAAAAAGATAATAATTCAATATTATTCCAATAAAAGTATTATTATCAAAATAAAAAATTATTCGTAATTATAATCTAATTGAAAAAATTATTTTCAGTTTAAATTGATGATTTGAAGAGTCATACTAAATTCTAATGTTTCAGTAGCAATTATTGACCTCATAATGTTACCGACCACTCTCTTACCGTCCCAATTTTTCAGCACGAACTAGGACTAGGTCTATAGTAAATTCATTTTCATGATGATTATAGCCGGGGTCTACGAGCCTAGTCGTTAGTCGTTCGCTTAAGAATAATTTCGAATGGATCATGAACATTAAGAGTGATTTGTCGTAAGGAACTTGGCAACATCATTAGCGCCGTTTTCTATGCACTATGATTGGCTTCAATACGACGTTACGAAGCAGTAATTTGATGCTGTGCTGTGTTAGAAACTAGAAAGGGGACGTTCGGGTTTCCTTCACTCATTGCATGGGATTAATGAAATATCCCTTCCTTTCATTCTTTCTCTTCCTTTCTCTCTTTCATTTTCTGTTACTTATTACCGACGATACTTAAACCATGGGGATTCGAGATTAGTCGACTTATCCGAGGATTACATTGCACGTGTCATTTAAAATCTTACTTTGAAATCATTTCTTATAATGTAAGTTTACATACGATCGATATTTCTAATATTCTAATCGCTATTAATATATTGAATGACATAAGATTTACCGGTGACAGGCATTTAATTTGTTCGTAACGCCATGGGAGTCACCGGTGACCGGCGAACATGAATAATTAGAAACACGTGTAAATTTTGATGATTTTAGATTTAAAAACGAGAAGATCGTACGTTTAACACGTTACTATATATATAAGAAATATTTAATTGTATTTTATTTAAATATTATCTAAATTTATTTATTATATTTCAACATTGTACTTTAAATAAGGGAATGAAAAAATATACTTAGTATTGTTTAATAAGCAATAATAATAATTAAATAGATTATAAGATTAATCAATAATTTTGTGTTCTTTCATTGTAATAAATAATCGAGAAATGTGATTTTTATAATAGAAATGAAAACAGAATAATAACGCGTTTTCCGGAAATGTCCTTGATTTCGAATAATTTGCATGGTAGAATGCTTCCTGAACATCTTCAACGACCCTTTCGTGCCTCGAACGCATCTTCCACGTTGGAATTTTCACACGCTTGAGAAGGTAGAAACAAAGAGGCGGCCTTGAGGATTTCGGTAAAGGAAGAGAAATAGGAAGAGGAGGATGAGGATGGAGGATACCATGAGGGTGGGTGACAATGTCTCGCGATTTACCCCCGCGCATTGTGCTGTCTCCAACCCTCCAACCCCAAACCCTCCTCAACGAGTTCGAAGCATCTCGACAGACAGAACGCGGTAAGAGATCCTACGTAGATCCTGGACAGATTTTCAAACCATTGAATGCTCTAAATTCTGCAAATTCTATTTCTACGTCTTCCATTGTTCGTTCCTTCATTTATTTATAATATATTTTTATCTTTTATCTTTTATTTTGTTTAAACTTATAGGATACTGAAATAAAACATTGACGTTAAAATTATTAACTGAGTAAAAAACAAAAAAAAAATATATTATAATATTTGTTTTATATCAAATATAATTAATAGATGTTATTTATTAACGAATGAGATACCTTGTAAGAAAATTTATTAATTTTTTTCTATAAATATTTATAAAGATTATACTTGATAAGCAAGTGGAGTTAAAATTAGAAATATTATTTAATAAACGAAGTGTGTCTTAAAATATGGGAATCGCTTGCAAGATATTATAATTGATAATCAATAATAAATGCCAAGAAAATATTATAAATTGTAGAAACAATTTTTAAAAAATACATAAATTAATTGTTATAAGTAATAGAAGAATAATTTTGAATACAGTTATGCATTTTAAATACCAAATTGTTTATAAATTTATAAACTTTCTCCGCTCTATACATTTTTCTCGTATAATTCTTAAGACGTATCTAATTTTAAAAAATATTATCGAGTCGATGTGGTTATTCGGATATTCGTTGATTTTTGTTTCTCAAGTAAACCGTAAAAATATGATAGAAATACGCGAAGAACGCAAAGTTGTATAAGTCGATCGGTTCTTAATATTCCAAGAGAAAGGAAATGTTAGCCATTTCAATATGGTTTGTGAAATATTGACATCTCTCTAACGCGTGAAGGAATAAAACGATACTTTTCTTTAAAGAATGAAACATGGCAATTAAACATCTATAACTTTCTCATTTTTTCTTTTATTTTTCAAACGAGATACGTAGTATTCCAATCATTTTCATTTCCTTGAAAACAAAGTTTCGATTTCAATTGCAAAAGTAAATAAAACAAAAATTATTATAATTATAAATAATCAGAGCAAAGTTTCAAAAAAAAAAAAGAAAATTCAACGTTAACAAAATAATCAATTAAATAAAATATAATTAAATTGTACCAGCATAATTATTATAACTTATACAATTAATATAATTCAACTAATAGAATTAACTCTTGACGAGGATCGTAGAAAGAAAATGAATATTGCAATCTTTTGTTTGAGAAAACAAGACGTCGTTCGAACATTCTCTGCACATTTTTGCAGATTAGTGTACTAATTACGATTACCGACAGACATCGGTACGCGCTGACAGGTCCGTCCAAGCGTATTTGTCCTCCTGTGACATCTGTCGAATCGGAATGGCTCATACGCGACATGAGAAGAATGAAGGGTGGAAACAAAATGAGACCGAGGAAAGCCTACACGCATACGCATATAGTCACCCCCCTCCCACACACACACACACAAATACATATACGAATGAGTACGGAGTATACTTATACGTACTACGAAGTGTAGAAGAAAATAAAAGAATGAGAGGGTTGAAGGGGTGAGGATCGGAGGGGTTGTGCACAGAGTTGGAGGGGGTTGGAAGAGGTTGGAAGTTAGAGAGATCCGGGTAAATGAAAAGCAGTAAGCCGAGATGAACGTATTTAGGGGATGCTTATATTTGAAGAAGGCACGTGACCACTCTGCTAGTAGGCTATGCCAGCTGCGAAAAGGCTTCTTCCTTCTTTACACATTGGTCTGCCTATTTCTATCCTTGTCTGACTCTTTCTGCCTATCGTTTATCCGTTTCTCTGTCTCTTACTATTACCATAACTACTCTTAACCGTTTTATACGCCAACTGTTTACTCCAGCAATCATATCGGCAAATACGGTGCATAATTAAAAGCGATATATAACGCGGCCGTTTTTGACATGTGCAACAGCGCGAATAACGTAACGCGGATTGTTCGATTAGAAAGAAAAAGTGGGAGAAGGGTGGTGGTGAGGGGGTGGGGGTAGGGTGAATAAATGAAAGGGAGGGTACTTGGTTCTGTTACAACAGCTTGTATCATTTTGTGTAGAGAATTTTAAACACGCATAATGGAAGAAATGGTACAACAATTTTTTGTCATTTAATATTTTGGACAAATTTTAATTACTGGATACGTTCGTGATTATATTTTAAATAATAAATATTTCCTATAACAATATTCAAGCGTAAAAAGTTTCGTAAAAATGATACTTTCATGATTGGAAAAAATGTGGTAATGAAAATTTATTATAACAAGGAACAATCGTGTAAGAGTACCATCGAGAAAACGTTTTACCATGACGAAGAAATTTACGATGAAACGAAAGAGGTTTTGTGCGTTTATGTATGCGTGTTAAGGAATGTGCGTGAGTTGGCCAATCAGTGAGTTGGCCTTTCCGCCGAAATTTATATCCTTTATTCTAGCCGCGACCGCACAAAAGAGGGACTCCGAAAACCAAGACGAACGGCATCGGGTAACTTTTACGAGACAGACATCTTGCGGGACAAGAGTTATACCATAAATTACCGAAGGAAGCAAAATGCACGCGGTAAGTGGATCCAGGAATCTGCATACGAAAGAACGAAGAAAGGGTAAAAGAATCGCGAGCTCGATTCGTTAATCCACCGTTTGTCGTAGAATTGTTTGACTGTGTGCTGGCACACACACACACACACGCACACACAAACACACACACATACATACGAGCGCGAGAAGAACAAAGAAAGAAAAAGAGAGAAATATAAAATTAGTAAGAGAGAGAGAGAAAGGGATGGGGAATAAGAGAAACTGAAAGATAAAAGGAACGAATTAGAGGAAGAGAGAAAAATTCAATGAGAGAATGAGATGCGTGTATAGAAGAAAGAGAAAATGTTAGAGAAAGGGAGATGGTAAGAGAGAGGAAATGAAAGAGTAAAAAGAGAATTCGAGAAAGAATGAGAGAGAAAGTGAGTAAAAGATAGTGTAAGAGAGTAAGAAAGGGAAATAAGAGTGTAAGAGAGTAAAAGAAGGAATGATAGTGCAAAAACGTTAGAAAAAGAATAAGCAAGAACGCGAGTAAGAGAGAGTGTGAAAGATAGAGAGAAAAAGAGAGGAAGAAAAAGGGAATTTGAATTAGAATTTGAATTAGAATTTGAATTTTTATCATGGTATTTTATAAATGACCTAAATAGTCCCACTACAATTGAGTTTGGCTTATATATCAAATAACACATAAAATAATGTATATATATAAACATGATATAAAATAAAATAATATAAAATAATAATACGGTAATATGATATAAAAATAAATGTAAAACTTTTTAATAACATGAAGTAATATAAAATAAATATATCAGAGAAAGAGAAAGAGAGAGAATGTAAAAAAAAGAATGAAAGTTAGGAAGATGAAAAGAGTAAACGAGAGGAAAGGAGTATAACATTTAGAGAGAAAGAAAAAGTCAATTTGAATTAGAATTTGTGTGTGAATTTATCAAGGAATTCTATAAAAGAGCTAAATAATCCCACTACAATTGAGTATGACTTATATATCAAATAACACATAATATAATATGAAGTAATAATAAAAGAAATAAAATAAAAT